GACAAGAAAAAAAGCATAGCATATAAAGGGTAGAGCCCGACTTTCCATTGATCAAAGTAACGCGAGAATCTCGAAAGGGTTAGCGAAATAAGATTTAAAGAACGTCAAATCTTGTCATCATAGACAAAAGCAGACACAGCAAACTTGGGCCATTGACAAGAGAAAAAAGCACGAAAAGGAAAACAAACAAGAGAGATTTATGGTAACGGTTTGGTTTCCACTTCTTTTCTTCTTTTGTTTCTTGGATTTTTTGGCTCTTCAGAGTGGAAGACTCGAGAAGAAGTGAATAATGGAGAGGACCAATCGGAAATAAATTGGACATAGAAAATATTATACAATATAACAAGAAAATTTAAGTAAATAAATTAAAGAAAGGAAAGTTATACAAACGTACACTAAGGGTCCGTTTGATAGGCAATTGTGGAAATGAATTCTAATTTCATGTTAGTTGGAAAATAAAAACTCACCAAACTCGTAGTCATAAGAATTCATTTTCCATGAAAAAAAGAAAATATAGTTTAAAGTGGATGTATCTTGAAATTCGATTTCTATTTCCACGTTGCAATCAAACGGTCAAAGTGGAATTCGTATTCCTCGGATGTGACATTTTCCATGGAAAATTGGGCAATCAAATATGGCCTAAAAATATTGTTTCATTCGTCGTTATTCTCGCATTTTGTAGCGTCATTATAATTAAAAAGTGATCTTTGAAAATTGAAAAGATGTTTCCAAGAGATCGTGTGCACTATTATGTATGATATTTTTCGAGAAATGCTTTAACTCCAAATTTTACAAGTCGTACCAAATCACAAGTAGTCTAATTATAATAACTTCTTGATTAAACGTTGCTCGATCTCGACAGTGAATTAAGAGGGCAATGTCGATACATTGAGAGTTCACAAAAATCAATAATTTTGTTTGTCAATAATAATGCAAGAGAATTGCCAAATCTTTGGTACTATTAGCATCAATTTCGGCTTTAAAAAAAAGTTATATAAACAAAGATTAAAATACCATATTATTGTTGTATTTTTTATTCCGAAGTTTCAAACTCACTGCCTTTTATTCTAGAGTTTTAGATTCTTGCTACTGTTACAGAAGAATTTCATCTGTAAAAACAACAAATAAGACACATAGGGGTGGGCCCTATTTTTTATAATAATATTTTATTCACATGGGGCCCACCCCCATGTGAGTATATGTAAAATTTACGGAACAAATAGTTCTGTACAACGAGTAAAATCCAAAGTTTTATACTTGTTTGACTTTCACCGAGTAAGCAACGTCTTCTTTACTTTGAGATATTTCAATTCAAATGTCAAAAGGTAATTTTGGAGTTGGCAGTGGTGGAATACATTAACCTAATTCGATCGTACCATTCTACAAATCAAAATCACTAGACGGGTAAGTTGGTTGCACTTACTTTTCAATCGATTACCTTTGTCTTTATCTCCCCTTGATTCTCTTACCTTTAAAATGTTGGGTGCCCATGGCCATATCTAGTGAGCCTTCTTAATCTCCCCTCGTCGATACTAAATGGATTACAACACTTTATGAGGGTTCCAAAATTCACTTTTTTGGAGGCACTCATCGATGTAGTTCATCTGGATGGGGCTATAGCTCGATGGACTAAATCACGGCGTTAGTGATTCAAATTTCTCTTACTGCAGATACTTGGTATTAGATCGATGGGGTTCGCTGCTTCATTAATGGGTATATTTTTAATTAATTGGAAAATGAAGTCGTTCATCCAATGCCATCTACAATAGAGTGCTATATAGCATTATTAGGAAAGTACTTTAAAACGTCCATTTTATAGAATCATACTACATATACAATCTTTGTCGATAGAGGTGGTTGACAACATTCTACTTGGTAGAATCACATTCATCAATTTTTAAAATTATTTTTTACGTCAAAAGCTCGGATTTTGACAACACATTATTATCAATCATATTTGTACAATGGTTGTGCTATTCGAACAGGGCCACCTTGGCCCTGTTCAAACAAGGGCGGATAATCCTTTGTGCAACTAGCTTTATTGATTTTTATATCACAAGGTTCATTTTTAATAGGGGAACAATACATAATTAAGACATTTAGTTTTACCAATTTCAAATTTAAGAACTTAAGTTTAAAATTTAAAATTTCAGATATTTTTAAATTTTATTTATAGATTAATTAATTAAACATATATTTTATTAATTAAATATATTAAGGTCACAGTTCCATATAATTTAGTTACAAATTCTATATAATTGGTCACATATTATTAATTTGTCACAAATCACAAATTTTACATGTCACAAATTATTTTATGGTCACTATTCAAAAATTTTATAGGTCACAATTTGTTCATTGATCACAAATAAAAATTTGAAATGTCACAAATTATTTTACGATCACAATTAAAAAAATTTATATGTCACAATTTGTTCATCGGTCACAATTCAAAATTTTTATAAATCATAAATTATTTTACGGTCACAAATCAAAAATTTTATAAGTCACAAATTATTTTACGGTCACAATTCATAAATTTTATAGGTCACAAATTATTTTACGATCACAATTGAAAAATTTTATAAGTCACAATTTGTTCATAGGTCACAAATAAAAAAAATTTATACGGCACAACTTATTCATCGGTCACAAATCACAAATATTATAAGTGATAACTTATCAAACAGTCACAAATTGTCAAATTATCGATCACAAATTAACAATTTTTAGGCCACACATTATTTTTTTTGTCACAATTTATTTTTTTCATTAGTCACATATTGTTTATTGGTCAGAGATTAACCAATTTAATGGTTACAATCAACCAAATAATTTGTGACTCCAACTAACACTTGTGACCACCACCTCATTACTCCATCCAACAGCACCATTGCCTCCGTCGTAGCAGCCGAACCATCACTACCACCTCTCGACCACCATTTTCAACTACAAAATTATCACGTCACCACTAGATCTACCACCACTAAATCCAATAAAAATCACTGCAACCGTCAGATCTATCACCAATGCCGTCAACAGTGTTAGATCCACCGCCAACTACCATTTTCAACTTCAAAATCACCACCACTACCTCACCACCACAACGACCACCAAAAACATCGCCACCCAAAAAAACCAACAAATTAGATCCACAACAAAAGTCGCATCACCATCTTGACCACAACCAACAAAAATCACCCAACAAATAATAAACATTGCCACAACGTCACGAAAATTGCCACCACCTCACGATGTTACTACACTGTCGCTGCGCACAGCCCAACACAAATTTTACCAAATCCTGTCATTCGTGGCTGCAGTAGATCCTTGCATTTCCCCAGATCCCAGCATCTTAGATGCTGTGAGTCGCTGAGTCGTAGAAGGTGCGCAGTGATTTGTTTCTCTGTTCCCTATTCCATCTGTTTCTCTTGATCTGTTTGATGTGGTGGTGATGATTGAGGTGGAGGTGGTAAATTTGTGGTGATGAAGGAGTTGACAGAGGAATCGGTTGCGGCCACAGGTTTGGGAATTTTTTGTGGGTGTGGTGAGGTAGTTGAGTGTAGTGCGGCGAGGTGGTGGTGACGACAAGGTGGTGGTGGGGGGACAACTAGAGAGAAGAGAGAATGTAGGATATAGAGAGAAAAGAGAAAATGGAGAGGATGAAAATAATTAGGACGCCGTTCGATGGATCGAGCGGCGTCCTGACGACGGTGGTGGCGCTTCACACCGCCGCCGACGACGGCGGCAATGGAGTTTTCTGGAGAGGAGCAGATCGGCACAGTGATGGGTAGGGAGAGAAACGAGATGCGTGAGAAAGAGAAAGAGAGAAATGAGAGGAGAGAATAATTAGGGATTGAGATGAATTTTGGGGTAATTAATAATATTAAATATTTAAATTAATATCTGATTTTTGTATAAATAAACTTTATATCTGATTTTTGAAATTGCATCTTAAAAATTTTGGTTTGATGTAATTTCCTCTTTTAATATTTTAGAGCGGTGAGAGACTTAGTCCCTGTTTGTGCTCCATTATTTCATATTTTAATAACATTTTGGAGAATGTGTGATTGGAAAAGAATGAATTTTTTTAGGTTTACGCATAATATTATTTTATTTAAAAACGTATCATTGATAAGCAGGGAGAATTTTTTTTTTTTAAATTCAACAGGGACAAAAACATAGGCTTGGTTTGAGCCACCTTATTGTAGAATGAAAATGAAAAATATAGTCGTTATTGGGGTCCACACAAGAGATAGAAAATTTGAATTTAAATGTCAATGTGATGGATAACGGTTATATTTTTCACTTTAATGAAATAAAAAGGTGATCCAAACGGACACATTGATTCGAAGAAAACTCGATGAAAGTACTTTAAAACAAAAAAAAGAAGGTAAAAGTAGGACTGCGAGTCAAATAGAGATTTACGCAGAAGGAATATAACTTTGAACTAATACGCTTTCTGATGTAAGCTGCTTGTTAAATCCCATCAACAGCTGTAGATGTGAAAAGTACAGGAGATTATTCAATGGGTAATTGTAATAATTAAAGCGATGCATCAAATTTTTTGATTGTTTTTTCGAGTCAAAACCGTTCTGAACACGCTTCAAAATCTTCAGCAGTAATTAATAAAATCAATGGGGAATTGTTAAGATTAATGAAGAAGAAGACGACCATTAATATCCCACATTAATTAAAGGAAACAAAAAGAAATTTAACTGTAAATTCCAGGCATGAATTCAGAAATCAAAAGTAAAAACTAACAACAACCGAGGGTAGAAAAAACTTTTTCTTCCTCCTCCAACTTTTCTCCCAACAAGAAAATAATAAATCCTTAACCAGTCTTCTGTTCAGACTAAAATATTCGTGTAACCCAGAAACATTTTTTGTTCCTTTCTTTATCTCTGTTGTTTCTTGAATTCTCCGCCTAATGAAATGTTGATGGGTCAATAGAGCAGCAACCAGTAAGAAGGGGAGAAGAAAAATCAAACAGAAGACTCATGGAAGAAGGTATGGATTTCTTCTTCTTCTTTTTTTTTATGTATATATATTTTCAATTCATCTTGTTTCAGATCACGATTGATATATACATTTTTATTTGCATTTTGATTTCAATTGGTTTGATGCTACGAGGGGTTTCTGGGAAATACCGGATTTGGGGGTTTTTGGTATATGGACAGTTTTCATTTGCTTTGCCGTGAGAAACTAGCCTTGGCTTGGGTTTATATTTCTGGGTTTTCGTTTTTATTTGTTATTCGCATTTCATTTGGGGTTCACTATGATTTTAAAGTAAACGCACAGTTTGATTGAATTTGTACATACACTCAGTGCGGGGTAATTGGTATATAACATTTTTCATGAGAGCGTGTCTAAGAATGGACATTGAAGCCGCTGGTAGTCGAGGGCAAAGTATAATCTTTGAGGCACCAGGAACAACCTTAAGAAAGATGTACTTTCTGGTTCTTCAATTGTACCTTTGTTCGTGGTCAGGAAGCTGTTCTTGAATCATCATTCTCAATGCATTTTCACAAGGTTGTACTGTGTGGTTCTTTCATCTTATCCGACTGGCAGATGTTCAAACGTCGACATTGCTTTAACTTAATGCATGGAGGCTTATTTTTCTTATTAATTTTTGGTATTCTACTTTGTGGATACAAGGAAGATATGATGCGTTTGATTTCTGAGTCTAATGATTTAGAAGACACTGCCATAGGGATGTTTTGTAAGTTTTTTGAAAGTGTGGATTGATATTAGTTCTGTAGTTAACTTTCGTGTCAGAAAACTTGTTTTAAGTTCATGAGGAAAAAAACTGAATGATTTTGTTGACAGTAAGTCCTCTGTTGATTAGATGAGCTGAATTTTTATTAACACATTAGTATTACCTTTGAAGCTTAAGAGATACGATGTGAATAATATGAAATACCAAAAACAGATGGACGTTAAGAGATGTCCTTGTTTACTTAAGAATACATTTATGTGCTTTTAAAGATGTGAAATGTGCTACAGTTCCAAGGTCATGATTTCCTGATGTTATATAACAACTTAAATATTATGTTGTTTTGAAGGGTATTTATGTGTATCTGAACCCGGAAAATTAAGTAATACCATTGAGATTTATGTGCACAATTAAGGTCTCTTCTCAAGCACTTTTATGAACTTTCTGTATTATTTCTGCTTGAAAATGGAGAAACAGAGAAATTTTAAGCTAAGTTTCCTCTGTGATACAATAATGCCATTTTGTTGATTTGATTCTTGCAATCTAGTCTAATATGGATCCAAGTTCACGGAATAAGGTTTTTAATTGTTTATTTGAGCATGAGAAAGGGGCGTTGGTCCTAATACTGTGTATATCATGAGGTCAACTCAGAAACCATTGGGTACTTAAGTTGGACGTCATTGTGCACACTAACTTTAATGTGCATTTAGCTTATCATCTCAGATATTTAGTAAATGTTTGTTTCATGTTAATCATTTAGAAACATGCGAGGTGCGTTCACAAGATGATAAAGCTCTTCTCGAGAAAAGCAGGAAAAGGACAGTGAAGACACGTGCTCAGGTTGATGCTTTGGAAAATTTTTATGATGGTAAACTTTCTCTTGTTGCATGTCATGCCTCTCCATATGCTGTCCCATTAATGTATTATCCTCATAACCAATTGTTAAGAAGAACTTGTCCTTTTTCTCAGAACACAAATATCCTACAGAATTGTTGAAATCACAACTTGCAGAGTCAATAGGACTGTCGGAAAAGCAAGTTTCTGGATGGTTTTGCCACAGAAGGTTGAAGGACAAGAGATTATTGAATGGGGAACCATCTGCAATTGGGAGACAAGATCGTTCAAGTGGGATTATACAGGATCATGGCAGTGGATTTAAGCAAGATTCCTGTGGTAGCACAAAACAGGGAGAAGATAGAATTTTTGACACCAAGGAAGTTGAAAGCGAAAGGTTAGTCGGCCAAGAACTTTCTGCTGCCAACCTTACATATGAGCCTGGTAATCACTATACCAGTAACCATAATCGTATAAATGATGCATCATCAGGAGGTAGTTCATCATTACGCAATATGTCCTCCCATCATAATGGTGACTTATCTGATATGGCAAGCTCGAAATACCTAACACCAAAGTTTCCTGGGGATACGAAGGGTGTTAAAATTAGGTCTGGCCCATCAGGTTATTTGAAAGTGAAAGGTCAGGCTGAAAACTCTGCTATTACTGCTGTAAAAAAGCAGCTGGGAAGTCATTACCGGGAAGATGGTCCGCCACTTGCAATTGAATTTGATCCACTTCCCCCTGGTGCATTTGAATCTTCAGAGCAGGAACAAAATAATGGTAAATATTTTCTGCTCGTTACATCATGCTCTATTACAATGATCTAACTTCAGTATATAACATGTAGGTGTATTTTTATTTTGTGAACTCACACAAATATCTAAGCTTGAATATTTATATCAATTTGTTTATCTCTGTTTGCTTTATGTAGTGTGGTGTCTTGTTCAATTCAAATTTGGTTATTCAAGAAGAGGTCAGAGGGCACATGATTTTTGCACCTCTGATGCTTTAGATTAATGGCTATGGAAAAGAATGAAATAAGCACACAAGATGGAAAATATAGCCAGTATATAATGGAATTGCTGGTGAGAATATGTATTTCTTATGTTCAGGGATGCATCTGGAGTCCACCATTCTATGGGAGTTCAGCAAAAAATATTGATAATTCTGTATAGAATGCATAACACGTTTAGCCCCTGTTTGGTCCGGATTAAAATCTGATTTTAATCAAAGTCAAATAATCAATATTAACCACATGGTCCACATCTTTCATGGTTCCATAACTTTTCAACCACACATTTCAAAAACACAATCTACTAAAAATCTAATTTTAATCCCTACCAAACACTCTCATATGTGTGTATGTGGCAACAAGAACACTGCAATAAATTAGCAATGTTCATTGGGAGGTAATAAACAAGAGTATAAAGAGAGAATGATTTCTTGTGCTAAAATGTTTGCAACGTAGTGGAATAGTCTACATTCTGCACGTTACTTCAGATGTTCTTGCTTGGTATGGATCATGCTCGTTATCAAATCTCTATTTTTTCAGAACTTGTGTGTCATCATACGACTTTTGCCACTTTTCTGAGTGTTTGCTTTTTTGTCTTGCTTATTTTTGGGTTAATTTTACTTGAGGTGTGTTTGAGCCACATTATTNGCAATTTTTGTTTATTTATTATGTGCCATATTATTTTGGAAGAATGTATTTTGGAATAGTAGATCGATGGAGAATGTGTGGTTGAAAAAGAATGAAAAATTATTGATGTGGTGAAAAATATTATTTTATTGAAGAATGTGTGGTTGAAAATGAGTAGAAAAATGAGAACGAAAAAAATTATGTGTGCCAAACAGGGGCTTAATGTCTAAACACAAGTTTTGAGCCACAAACCCAGATTCTACTCTTTAATCTCAGCCCGTGACAGAGATCTTTTGCCATTTTACCGTAATTGTTTGTAGCTCTTAGTTGCTATCGTTCTCCGAGTTAAGAATATTTGCACTCCACCATTTCTATTAACGTAGTGAATTTCCAAGTGTATCTATGTGTAGAAAAATGAAAACGAAAAAAATTATGTGTACCAAACAGGGGCTTAATGTTTAAACACAAGTTTTGAGCCGCTAACCCAGATTCTACTCTTTAATCTCAGCCCGTGACACAGATCTTTTGCCATTTTACCGTAATTGTTTGTAGCTCTTAGTTGCTATCATTCTCCGAGTTAAGAATATTTGCACTCCACCATTTCTATTAACAATCACTTAAAGGTTCACATAGATACTCCCTTTCAGTTATTCTGTATATCTTGCATGTAGAAATATTTTATTTACTCATTCTCTTTACATAAATGTGCTTCAAAAAATATCCATCTGATCACTCCCCTTTTTTTTCTCTGTCTTGTTCATCCGTTTTCTGAATATTACTTGTTTCTAATCTCTATACTTGCCAGAACCTTATTATGCTGGACATGTTCTGCGGTCCATTCCTGATGTTTCAAAAATCCAGAAGTATCATAATTTCAGTGAGGCAAGTTATTTTGGTGGACATATTATTCACTCGTTTAGAAAATGTCAGCTATTTGATTTTATATGATTTGTTTTGTTTTATTTCATTTAAATGGGCGACAGGGATATGAAAACAAATACACCGGCTCTCATAACTCTGACGTGGATGGAACAAATTATAAAATGGCACATGGGTCAGAAATTTCTGGAAGTTACCTCCAGCGGAAGTTCAAGATGAAGACTAGTAAATCGGATCCTAGGATTAACTCGTCAGTGAATTTGCCTGAAGGTTCTAGAAGATGTATGCCAGGCTATGAAAGTAGGGACAGTTACCAAATGAGGCCTCGACACAGTGTTGAAGTGACGAAAATGGAATCTGTTTCTTGTCATCCTAATCTGCAAATCTATAGTGGGAAAGTAACAGGGGAATGGACTGAGCCCTTGTTTAATAAGTATAATGATGTAGGCCCAAAGGTTTCCCGTGGAGGAAACATTGAATACCCGCCTTCAAATTTGACCATTAAGGGAAACGAATATCACACTTCAGAAGACAAAGGAATGCCCAGAAGGACAATTATGGTATAATCTTAAATTGCATATTCCTGCCAATTTTTGTGCAGTTTGTGGTTCTTCTGCTGATGCATTGTTATTTGACAATGATGTACAGGATGCCAAAGTTTATAGAGAGAGGGTGGTGAATGCAATTTGTGAGCCTGCTGGAGTAAAAATTCCCCTGAAGAATGAAACGAGTGTAAGTTTTGTGCTCATGTCAACCCTTTTTGTTTCTTACAGTGGTACTGTTTTCATTAATTGTTTAAATTTCTTTGCGTACACGTAGACTTCAAAAAGAGTTAGAGATCAATTTTCTCAGCAACTGAATGGGAAGAAACCGTCCATGGTAGATACCCATTCATGCACTTATCAACTCCCAAGGTTTGAACTAATACACTTCCTTAATTTGGCTGCTGAATCTTGTTGTTTGAAGATTTTTGGAGCATTATTGCATTTTGAGATTTTGTGCCTAAATTCTGTCCCCGTCTCCCTGATTAGCCCTTTCTCTAAGCCTCAACTGATATATAAATGTGTTGAATCCTACATACGTGTTACGTGTATATCTAATTGTGTCCCTAAAAAATTATAAATCATACTACATTTCAACTGATGAGGACATGTTTCTCTCTTCGTGAAAAAGTAACGAAAGAAAAGCCAGGGGATGAAATGTGTTTGTTGTGGTGCCTACGGCTACGTCAGAGAGCTAGCAATGCATTTGGTGAACCTCCATGTCTAAAAGCTTAGGTTGTTAAAGTGGGAACCCATTTAATTATTTAATTAATGTTTTAACATGCTTTCTTCGCATATACGTTGGATACATTTTTCATCAAAGACCTAGCACGTGGACAATTTTCATAAATGGTGGTGGCGATACTCGAATTAAGGAATTTTTGACTTTTGTTAGCCCTGATACCTTGTTGAATCACTTCGTTAGAAAGCTTAAGCTCTTAGACATGGGAGATATCTATGCCTCCGTTTGGAGAGAAATTTATACGTGGTTTACAAATTCAGTCGAAGTCGAGCATTAATTTCAACCACACATTCATAACTACTATTCATTATCTACACATTTTGTGGGACCCATTACTTCGTCTTTATATATCATTTTATAAATTTGTCAAACGGATGCTAATTATTTATTTTGTCTTCAACAACATTTGTAGATGCCCGATCAATCTCTTTAAGAATGTTAAATCTTAATGTTCATATATTATGATCTGAATCTACCCCACCTTTTTGTTGTAGTTGATGATGAATTTGGGAAGCATTTTATTGCTTCAAATATAGAAATGGACAGGTAAGTAGGTTTATTCAATTTCTCGATAAACGTAAATACAGTGAAGAGTGTTTATACGCATATAGGAAGATACCCCTTCCCTTGCTCAAGAAGAGTCTAATAAACTTCAAGCATTAATTAGTTGGCAAAACTCCAAAAGAAGACGACACTGCCATTTACCTCTTCACTGTAGGAATAACAAACTATTAATAGAAACAGCCAATAGAGGATGTCCAGACATTGATTGGTACATGAAACCATTGAACCACCTTATTTAAAAGCTCAAGTTGTTAGAGAGGGGATACATTATAGCAATGTGTTATGTTTCCCATTGCAAGGTTTGAGACTCGAATCTCACATCGAAAGTATGAACTTTCGATGTGTAGTTTATATTGATTTGAGTTCTCCAATTTCAATAGCTAACTTTTGAGGTAAGACTCTCCCAAGATCTATATCAATGGTATCGGAGAAGGCATCATGTCTCTCAATTGCCATTGAGCAGCGTGGATGGTGACGTCGACATAGCAGTGTTCGTCTGGGACTATTCATGGGCTAGTGCAAAACCAGTCCGACGTGGACTTCGAGATTGCAGGGCGTGGTGAATTGTTATGTTTCCTATTGTATTACTTGAACCTCACATCGAAAGTATGGGCTTTCGTGTGTGATTTATATAGACTTGACTCTCTAACTTTAACAACTAGCTTTTGAGGTATGGATCTTCCAAAATCTATATCACAATATTTAAATTTGGTGTTCAATGCTCCCCCTCGCTTTCATGCCTGAATAATATATTCACCAAAGGCCTATTCGCACAATTTTCACAAATGGTATGCATCCGCATGGACCTTTAGAATCCCACTGACCAACGCATACAAAAACATTAAACGTTTGGTCTTTAGTCCAGTGTTGGTGAATAGAACTCGTTCGATTGCATTTAGTAGAAAGCACGAGTGCCCTATATGCAACCCTAGACTGAATTAAGAGATTATGGGCATCTGGTGATTACGCACTAGTTACATGTATGTTTTTCTATGTAGATTAATACTTGTTCATCTTGTATTTTGGCTCTAAAATTTTTGTGCCTACGCTCACTGGAATGACACTCATTTGTATAGTTTGCATAATGGAGCAATAGTTTGCTAACACTACACATATGTTTATATGCTTTAGGTCTGTGGCTGAGATCCCGTCTAGTTTTAGTGAAGACGACGAAAGTGCAGAAACGAGTTCCATGGATTGATAGGGGAAAAATATCATATGCCGTCCTGAGTCTGTCATTGAGTACTTGGGCTCTGACGTGTCAATTAAAAGGTGCTGCAACTTTGTATATTGCACAAGTTTATCTTCTTTGTAACCTAAGGAAGGTCGTTGTAATTATCGAGAAAGATTACTAGATTTGCCCGTTGCATTTAGCAATTAGCAGTTCATATTTTTTGTACAGAAGCAATTTATTTTAAATTTTATTTAGACAGTATTTGGTTGTGTTTTTAAAAGGTTGATTCCGACTTTGCTGTCGCTTTTTGATAGATGCACTCGTACTACTTTATGTAATTTATTTTAGGTCAAGAAAACTATTTTACGAGTAATCAAAAAGAAAAAAAATAAATTTGCTCTTTTTTTTAGCATAGCTTTGTAGTTGCAGGTAAATTAACTGATGAATGTGAAACGGCTTAATAGCACAAAATGTCCATACGTTTCATTTTTTTTGTATTTTCGCTCTTATCTCAACGTTTCATTGCAGAAAACGTCATTTTCACTGTTTTTTAGTGAAAATTGATCAATATACCCTTCTATATAAATAAAACAAAAAAAGGAAAAAAAATAAATTGTAATTATACTTCCAAACTTTTTAAAAAGTGGAAGCGAGTCCAAAAGTTTTATTAAAAGGCTTAAGCACAAAACGTCCCTACGGTTGACACTTATTTCGAAAAACGTCCTTACGTTTCAAACTTTTTGTACTGGGCTCATAGCACAAAACGTCTTTACGTTTGACACTTATTGCGTAAAACGTCTTTACGTTTAATTTCTTTTACATTTTCGTCCTTATTTCAACGATTCATTGCGGAAAACGTTATATTTTTATGAATCCCATGTACCAAATGTTGCCAATATTATATAGTGTACTCAATTGTACGCCACAATCTACAAATATTACAAGTACGAAAAAGCTTATAAGCTCTCTAAAAGTAGCTTTTACAGTCTTCTCTAATATCTCATTTTAGTATTTGTTTAATCATACTTTTAAATACTTATGAAATATGTGCATAAAAACTATATTTGACGAGTTTAAAAATTTTTCAAGTCCAACGAGACGTAATCTTAGCCAAGCAAAGGTGTACAATTTACTTCTCAAGTTTAATCCATCATAATATCCATCAAAGGACTGTGCATCACTGTCAAGGTGGACAAGGGATAGTTCAGAAATATCTATCCTTTGCATGCTTCTTATAGTTTGCAAAAGAAACAAATATCCCCATGGTTGAAATTTGAATGGTGAGGATCCCAAATTAAGCCAAAAGTAGAAGTACAAATGTAAAGGAACCAAACATGTCACGACTCGTCCCAAGTCACCCTAATAGACCTGACACATGTCGTGCGTCGATTGTAGATACCAGGTAAGTGTCGGACCCACCACCAAGGCGACTATGACCTGTTCTAACTGTGACACATTTTTATAAAAATTTTGACAGAGTTTCCCTTATAATATGGACCAAAACCACCTGAACTATTGGTCATTTTACATTGAAAAACAGTGTGAATGACGTTTTCCGCAATGAAACGTTAAAATAAGGGCGAAAATGCAAAAAAATGAAACGTAGGGACGTTTTGCACCTTACATGCTAAACGTAGGGACATTTTGTGCTATTAAGCCAATGTGAAACCTTTCATGACCTTTGCTAGAGTCCCATTTCGGGGCAGGAATGGAGGGTTTAGGACAAAATTCCAAAAAAAAAAAAATTGTACCTTTTAACGTTAGCCATACATGCTCTAGGCCAATATTCCCGTTAAATTTAGGGTCGATTATGTGAATTTTTCTCTCTTAGTTCACGATAAGATTAGCCGCAACAGAAAGCTAGTTCAGCTATCAAGATTGATGAGAAATTCCAAATTTCAAAAGCTTCAAGCCTTGGCTGTAAAGAAAGTGAAAATTGTAGAGTAGAGTGGAGTTTTTGCTAAAATAACAAAATTGCTGTAAGAAACTAAAATTTCATGGGGTGCGAAGTCACAGAATCTAGTACAACACTGGGGCTCACAAGCTAGTAAGATTTGTAAACAAATTGGTAATTTTCTTCTGTGTCAAGCTATTGGTCCTCACTCTTCTTTCTTGTTCGATTTAGCTTCAGCTTCAGCTTCAGCTTCGTCCGACTTAGTACTGGTTTTAGATTCGTTGAACTCCAACAACTGCGAAGAGAATGCAAACGTTTGAATATTCGATCAAATAATCATATCAGAGTAATAGGAAGCTCTAGCCATCAAACATATAAGATAAGAATATGCTTTCGAGCTCAAACTGAAAACAATCAAAGCATTATTCTTACTTTTAACTAAAATATTTACTTATTTTAAAAATAATTCTTACCTTTACTTCCAAATCAAGTCACTTTTTCAACTTCAATCAATAAATGAAGTTATTTATTTTTATTTTTACAATTATTCACTTGTAAGTAAACTTTTTTGAGGATAGCCAATCAGTCTATAATACCTCATTCAGAAATCACACAATGAAAGACTTACTGGTTTAACTTCCCCATTCCATACGCAATGTGCAGCCAAAAATCCAATAACACATGGCACGATATACAAAAGCGCAGGCTGGAAAAGGAGCTCGATTAAGTAGAATCTCAAAAGTAGAATCTTTTAGAGAGAACGAGATTTTGTACATGGAAGTATTTACTCAATTTAATTTAGTGAACCATGAAATTGTGAGAATGGGTTCACTACAACACTCACCTGTGCAGCTTGAAACCAGTTCATGACAACTATTGTGAGGACCAAACCGGCTGTGTACCCCAGAAAAGCACTCTTGAAGTACTGGCTCTCTCCCCCCCGGGAAACATCAAATCTCAGTGCCAATGCTACAAAAATGCCTGGAAAAGTGCGAGTAAATCTTGAAACTTTAATTGACCAGATAATATTATATAGGAGACTTGTATGCAAATTCAAGAATAAGACTGGTTTCTGTTGGACTGTGAAGAGCGTAATTCACATCTTTCATATCCCTGATTGTGTAGGCAAATTTTCTTTATTATAGGGATATATTAGGCATTCATATTTTTTTATTAGGTCCCAGTTTTCTAGTTATATAAAGGAATCTGAGTGGGCCTGTTTCTCAATGTATGAATAAGACAGGGTTAATCCATAACAGTAACACAATTATTACTCTCAAGATTGAGACAAGCCATGGCTTTACATAAAAGAGATGGAACATAAATCCATGAAAAAGGAAGCAGGTGGACACAAAGAAATCATAGCTAAACCAAAACTAAGAAGTTTTGGATTAAGTGAAGTTCATACCAGGAATAACTATATCTCCAAGACCAAGCATTGAAAATGGTCGTGCAGAATCCATTGTCGGGAACAAAAGCTGAAAAATGAAGCATAAACATTGCATATTTTTTTGAAGTACAAAACAAAATTTACAATGTCAGGTAGACATGTTAATTGGTTCAAGGTACTAACCTTTATAGGAGCATCAAAAGATTTTGCAACGCTAACCATTACTGGAGTAAAAAAGACCCAGAAGATGTCATATACGAAAAGTCCAGCCTGAAATTTGCAAAAAATAAAATAAAATGCATTTAATAGAAGACCATAGGCTAATGCATGAACTAGTTTTCACTATAATAATTTCAAAAAAATAGTATGTTTTGTGTGCAGCATGTACCACAGAATTGTCCATCTTACCAAGAGAATGGCACCAGTCTTAAACGAGCCCAGCGAAAGCATTTCAATTCCCTGCAATTAAACGATAATAGAAAACAAAATATCGTGTCATTAAAGCTTTAATAATTTCTTTTTATATTTTTATTTTTCATACAACATTGAAAAAATATAAAAACTTCATTGTTATATTATGGAAGCATTGTAGATTCTAAAGGAGAGGACCAAGTACTCAATCAATCTATCTGAGAGGTAAGATAGAGAAATACATCACAGGCAAGCATTTTGAAATTGAGTGTTCATATAGGGAGTGTCTGGTAAGCAGTAATGGATATGATTGGACAGTATAATGAACAAGAATTTAGCTTCTATTTCTTTCTTGGTACACTATCTAGTGCTATCCAATCTTCTCGCTAATAATGTCTGGAGAAAGTAAGCAGTACCATGAACCAAAAAGCTATCAAACTGAGCAAAATTTGTACGTTTTGAGGGAAATATAAACTGAGTTACCGAACATTACTCCCTATGTACATAAGTCAAATAATCCTAATTTTTTTAGTATGCCAATGCGTTCAGGAGGCGTTCATTTGGAAGCCATCAAACCTGAATGCAGAATGCGAGCCCCAGTGTATTGTTAGCTAGCCAATGCTTCTGTGAAGCATACCATGCACAGAAGAAAGTTCCAGGAATTGCAGCAATGACCTGTGATCTTGTAAACTCAACCTCCAAAGCTGTGCAACAAATGGGTAAAAAAATATCATTCTGCATATTACAAGCAATATAATGTCAAGACATCAAATGGAAGGCTGATAACTCACTCACGCCTCTATTTGAAATATTATTTAAAATTTGTAAAAAATCACAACAAAACAAAGAGAAGGTTTCAATAAGCATAAAAATAAGTAGATGTAACTTTTTCTTTTCTTTTTTTTATGGAAAAAATGTTTCTTTTTTAAAAGTAATTCTTAACTTATTATCAATTAAGTAACTTATTTCCATTTTGACTAATAAAAATGTTACTCGTTTACTTAAAAGTACATTTAATTATCAGTGAACTTTTTAAGCTTAGCCAAAAATATGCTCTTAAATCGATTTAGTGTTTTTTATTCACATATAATGCACTAGTCAATAATATAGACATGCCCAAATTCAAAAGGATCTTTATTTAGACAAAGTCTATCCAAAAACACACTAATGTTCATAGTATACTATGTAAACAAGTGGATAACATCACCCCACATAAGCAAGCCATGATGCTATTTTCAAATAGAAGGTTAAATCAAGATTAGAAAATCTTCATCAATTTGATATAATTTTCAAAGAGAATAATTCTTACAATCAATGTTAAAATATTACAAGAAAAAAAATCTGGTAAAAGGAACAAATGTTAAATAACACCAACAGATAATGCTCACAAAGACAGTGCAGTAAAAGCAAAATATGACAACATAAAAACAAATCCGGCTGATTGCCAAGTGACCGGAGGACGAGTCTCAATTAGTACATCGCTTCCAGTAAATATTTTCAATAAGATGAAAAGGAAATTGGACCAATCAAGGAATAATAAATAATATCACTTCTCAAAAAGTAAGAACAGAATCATATAAGCATTTGTGTATACATACACCGGAAATATGGAAAACGCCATAATATGAGATTATCATTCCAATGTTTCGGCAAAAAACGACTGATTGCTGGTAACAATGTTGCCCTGTAAAAAGTAAATGAAAAGAGTAAAAATAGCAAGAAAATGTCATTACTTCTCTTATAACCTAATACAGAATATTACAGATAGCAAAACAAGCATTTTAGAATACTCCATGTGCTAAAGAACATACGAGAGAGCGACGATCCCAAGTACAAAAAAGTAGCACGTCAATACAGCATTAACCAAGTCCTTTGACAGGAACTTAAAGAGCAAGAATAATGACAACAACATGGCACTTCCAACCAAGGGAAATCGCATGGCATGTTCATTGGACATTGTCTCCTGCAGAATTTAAACACCCAACTTAATGAAAAGCTCAAAAAATTCATAAGAGAATAACATTCAAGGGGCTGAAGATAGAGGCCCAGCTCAACTTACTGAAGGTGGAGTTGGCTTGATAGAACGGTAGCAACCCACATAAACTGCAAGGCAAGCTGTCAATATGACATTTAAATTCGGGTCCACCTTCACAACCAGCGGGGCCAAAGTCAAACCTGCCCAATGATAAAACTCACAAAATCAATGCCCAAGAAACTCAAACCGACATCATAAGACAGAAAACATAAAGAAAATATAATCTACACCCCCACCTCCGAACCAGTCAAATATTTTCACAGTGCACTAAGCTTTCATAGTGAAGTGTAAGTGTCCAAAGAGAAGTTTAGCTCAAAAACTGAACGCGAATGTATATACATACATGTGAGCATGCACACACACATGTATACATACATAAATACAAACAAACTCATATATGTGTGCAGTGCACTAATCTTTCATTACTAAACTATTAGTGTTCAAAAAGAATATTGGCTCAAAACATGAACGTGTGCACATACACCCGCACACGTATGTGTTCATTCATACATATAAAAGCATGCGAGCACATATAGATATATACATTAATTAGACACCATAAAAAAAATTATTACAAGCACGCGCAGACACATACATAAAACTAATCTTGCAGGAGCAGCAGCTTCAGGAAATTCAAAACAAGAAATTGGATAAAAGAAGGAATAAAATAAATAACAAATTCATCATGAATGAATGTTACAGTGGCCACAAGAAACTCCTTGTATATAAAAGGAAAAAAAAACAAAATATATAATCATGGAATCAAATGGCCAGACAAAATGAACAAAATAGTACCGGCCAAGGCAATATTAGCCAGACGCTCATTATTCTTCATTATAAAGTCTTGTCAAAATTCTGAACTGCACCCTTCGTTTCACTCCAAAAGAAACTGCAATTCACAAAATATAATGTATCCAAGATTCTTCAAATAAAAGAAACCTAATATACCAAGATCAACACAATCTAATTACACGTAATAGAAAAGTTACGATATTTTTGGTTGTGTACAAACAATATAGATCTTTCTAAAATCTGGGTAATCAAGATCAAACAACAAAATCAAAGACCCAAATATTAGAGTTTCTTTGAATTAAACAAAACCGACATTCGTAAGTAGATATTTAACATATCTCAAACCCGTATTAGTAAATAATCTTTAATTTAATCAAAAACCCATATTCTTGGCTTCTTCAAAATGACAAAATTCATTCAATACAATTTGTATACAGACACACATACACATACACACACGCAGAGACCTTAAAGAAGTGGGAAAATTATGGGTTTCTATTTCCTCTCTCAGTAGACTGATCTTCAATTTCAACACTCGGATCGCAGAAAGTGGGTGGGAGAATTTAATTGAAAATGCAGAGGAAGAAATGATATATATATATATATATATAGCTTATATATTATTGCATACAGGTCCCATAATTCATAACTCCTATGTAATGCCAATTCTTTGAGTTGCTTCTGCAGGTTGTACATTTAGATTATTGACTTTCTGAGTCTAATGTACAAGGATTTAAAGCGTTTAGGTTTTAATAACTGCATGAAGAACTACTGCAGACGATATGGGATTTTTGTTTGGAGGAGCCACGTCCCGGGAGGTGTAATCTCCCAATTAAAAAATGCCACATCAGATTAAGAAAATATCTACCGCAAGCAGTAAATTAGTAAAGTCCAAGCACAAGCCCAATACTATTTTTATAGGGATAAGTAGGCCCATCACTTTATCTGGGCCCGTTTAGAAAAATTCCAAAATCAGATATCTTCGGAGAATATCATTTTGCACAAAATTATACTTTGAAACATCATCTTCAGCAAAAAACCTTCAGGATACAATTCTTTGCAACCGTGTCTGAATTTCGAATTCGTATAATGCATTTGATAATGAAACAAGAGAATGTATTTTCCATTTATAATGTATTCGGCAAACTTTATCACAAACAATCCACAATCATAACTGAAATAATATAGAAAAACGTTATTAGATACTCAAAATTTCCATTTCAGGTTTCGATTTAACTAACAAGGAAAAAACACATTTTATATAAGTAAGCTGTAAAGCAACCTTAATGACAGATTATGTACAACCATACAACCTTGAACATTGACAAAACATTGCACTCATTAAAATTGATTAATCTAATACTAACTTGGGCACACCAATAGCATCTCACTTGGTCTACTTGAAGAACGGATTTGGTAGAATTGGAACGAGTATACATTACAATTATAATCTATTAAGTGTGACGAAACCACATGATTCATTTTCAGCATGTACAGAATACGGGGCACAATTTTCCATTCAGATTGCAAATTTTCCAATTTTACTACGTGTCCACAATATATAATGACACCATAGAATTAGACATCACGCATCTTTCTAATTCCCACATTGTCAACGAGTCATATTAGAACCGACTTCAAGATAATTTTTTGCTGAAAATGGAGAATACTAAGGCTAATATAATTAAGACAACATTAATTATGACTTCTACATATTGCTTGTTCTTGTTGGACCAACCTCTGTTTGGTGTTTCCATTTGTCGATGGATCTTCTAATACAACTTGTATTGCAACAAACTAGCTTCAATTTGGTTGTTTTGTGACGTTGGTGCAGCTCCAATTAAGATTTTATATTAGTGATAAAGCCCTAATCATGCCAAAAAGAAGATCAGAAACATAGACTATGGAATAATGTTATGGATTAGAATGTGCTTAGTATCTGTAAAATATCAATCTACGGTAACAATTTAGATTTCTTGAGAGGATTCTAGATGAAGGCGAATACATGTGAATATGAAGAGTCACCAATTTGGTTGTTTGTTGACGTTGGTGCAGCTCCAATTAAGATTTTATATTAGCGATAAAGCCCTAGTCACGCCAAAAAGAAGATCAAAAACATGGATTATGGAATAATATTATGGATTAGAATGTGCTTAATATCTGTAAAATATCAATCTACGGTAACAATATAGATTTCTTGAGAAGATTCTAGATGAAGGCGAATACAAGTGAATGTGAAGAGTCACCAATTTGGAATCATTGACCTTGATTAATGTCCAAGACAGGCTTGTTGGGTGGAGTAAAATGAGCTGTCCATTGATTATCTTGTTTAGGAGTAAAGTGATTTATGTTTTTTTTTTCTTTTTACTACAATATTGTAGTATTTGTGGGATAAAATTCTTTAACATGTAATTATAGAAATTTTATTAAAAAACCGGTAGCCTGCGTAATTTCTACTAATAACTTCGAAAAGTACTTTTTCAATTAGAAGAATTTTTTAAGTAACAACTAGCCCAATGACTTTTATAGGAAGCAGAAGCCTTGATAAACAGGCCCTTATCCAAGAAATCAGTAGACTTGAACCTTGTTCATTTGTGAAGTAATTATAGCTTTTAACTTTAGTCCAATGGCTGCTGATATTACAAACTACAGCTACTCAGTGTGCAATTATCTTAAGATTGAGCCAAAAATATAGATCACTCACCCAAAATTTTCACCTACTTTGCATATAAATACTATGTTGTTCTAATTAATTATTTACATGAACAATGTATGCCATAAACAATAATGAACTTAATAATTCCAAAAAGCTAGATGCTAGTTGTATTCTCAGTACTCCCACAACAAAGCCATAGTATTTCAACTGTCAAAATGGGTGGAACTGGGACGTGCCTCCCATGACCCGCAGCCGCAACTCCCAATTTTTTCTACTAAAATTATTTAAAATAGCACAAGAAATATTTTAAAAGTTGGGACGGGCCAGCCAGTCACCTATTTGACACATATGACAGAATATACAGGGTACAGAGTTAGCTTCTTGCATCTTGATAAAGAATCTTCCATGGAGCTGTCTTCTTATCTCTTTACCTCTCGGCTTTTGGAACAATCCTTGTGAAAAAGATAGCAGCATGGGACCTTCTTGCTATCCTAAAAAGAAAAGTCGAATTTTGTGCAGGTTCAACTTCTCTTGACACTTGAGTAGAACTTATTGTTAGATCCATGCAGGAGATGATGGTTTATACTCAAAATCTTGTGACATTGTTCCATAGTTCAAATCCAGATTATGGAGTTGTTCCATCAACTGAAACCTTCTCTCCTTGAAAAAATCTAGACGCGTTGTCAATTCTACCAAAGTCGAGGATGCTGATGAGGGATGAGACGGATAATCCAACACCTGCAACCATTATAGCTTCTTTAGAATCCTAAAACAACACTATTATAGGTGTTAGTTGCAATATGTCATTAATTCAATCAAATGTATTAAACCATTATGGATTTAAAACCGTGTTTGGTTCTGTTTAAGAGTAGTTTCTTCGGAAACTAAAAGCATGTTTGAGAAGTGTTTATAAACAGTTTGAATTATAAATAGATAGAAATATGTAGTGGATAAGTGAGTAATACTTGTAGATCCCTCAGAATGTGTGTGGGTAAAAAGTGCTCAAGTGTGTAAACAGTTTATATACAGCAAACATAGGCTGAGTTAAGACCTACTTTTTGAGAAAGCAAGGTTTGTCCACAAAAATAAAGTAGCTTTTGAAATCGTGTTTGACAAAATATGTAACTTAAAAGTAAATTTGACTTAAATTTAATCCAGCCAAACATGCACTAACACCCTTTATAGAATTGCACTACAACAAAATGTCATAGAGAATTGAACTCACATTTGACAGTTGCAAGGAAGAATCACTAACCAATCAAGAAGGGTATATTGTAGACTACGTAAAATAGCATAGAGGCTAGAATACCAAAGGCATATATGTGACACATCGATTTTTCAGATTCCTCGGACAAGTCTAAATGCGAAAGACTGATTTTAACCAAAAGATCATCTTATCCACGGAATATATACTATGGACTTTCAACTGGGAAAATGAAAACTTATATCGTCCTAAAGGAATAACTAGCCCACAAAAAGAACACTACACTCGATGCTATGCATGTAGACAAATTTTCACAAATAAAGTCTCAAAGGATAATGTAGGAAGTAGGAACTGCACATAAAACAAAATGCTCAACTGAACAAAGATACGGTAAAACATACATGGTTGTTTATTAGATTAAAAGATGACAGACATGGGGGATTTGATCGGCTAATTCAAGTCATATGATAATGCTGAGAATAAGTCAAGATCAGCAACTGGTATATGTATGAGAGAGAAGTCAACAGAACAAGTGGAATGTGTAAGATTTCAAATTGCACTTAACATTTTAAATATCGTACATTTCGAAAAATGTTGATTGACTTGAAATAAAAAAATCAAACATAGGAAAGTCACCTCATTCCTTTGTTTTCTTGCATGGTCACTGGAAGCTAGACTGGTATCAAAATTTTGCTGGAAATATTTCCTGCAGCAATATAAACTAAACTTTATCAGTACACATGATGTGCAGTAGCTAACAAATAAACATTAGACAATTGCTTGACATGTTAATTCGATATAGGAAGATCTCCTATGTTAATTACCCTCATTTCAATTACAATAAATAAATAAAACCAAAAAGAATGAAAGGTGAAAGGATTGAGTCAAAAGCTTTGCATATGCATGCCAAACTTTCTGCTCTATGAATATCTTTTGCGAGTAGAAGATGTCCAAGCAAGTGGAAAAAATCCAATTCACCAAAGAGTATGCCACGTATTATATCAGTCCATACGAATAAGCATGTCTATTGGTCACTTCCCAACCTTGTATATACAGACATGAGTTTGATTACTTAGAGTCGTGCAGAATATAACATAGTTCTTAATAAGTTAAGCAGATTAGCTGAATAAGTTATCACCACTCTTCTAAGACCTCTTGAATTTCAAAGTCTTGATTTGACATC